TNTAGTATATATATATANATTATATATATAATATATATACATATATATAGTATTTTAACTTATGTTGTATATATATATATATATATATATATATAGATATATAGTATCGTTTATATTATTTATAGATACATTTCTAGGTGTAAAAATAAAGGAATACGTATATGTGGCACAATACCTACCAGCACACCGATAACATTCAAGGCAGCACCTATACAACATGCGAAGTACAGGCTGTGCGCGTCCAGGGCCCAGGTGGCAGCAAAGGTTGTGGGGATGTATATAAGCATGAAGATTTGTGACAGCCAATTGACGGCCTGTCGCGAGACTCCATAGTACTCTTCAGTCACAGTTGCTATGGGCGCAAAACTAAACCACACCAGCGCATTTGTCTGGTTGTTGGGTTGGTGGATTGGGGTTCAAGGGAAGCGACAGATTAGACAGAGATGTGTATAGATGATTTGAGACGTGTAACTATGAACTCGCATAGGGAGGCCTTAATGCAAACAACGTTCCTAAAACAAATGAAAGTGCGAGATAGTTATGTATTTTCGGTATGTAAACCGTTTCCCTTTATTATGAAGACAGCTATAATACCACCTTATTAGATATGTGAGTTGCTTGCCTCCGCACTATGACCGCGCTAGGAACGTGGTTGACATCTAACTACAATCACAGATATTTTTATACTTCACCCAATGGTATACGCATGCATGAGCAAGGCATTAGAAAAAGCACATTGAATAATCGGGAGCTGGTTACCAGATTCCTCACATACCAGATTCAAGAAGCACAGAACAGCCAGCATCCACCAGCGTCTCTTGTACATCACATACACTATGTCGTCGCCCACATTCACACCTGCACTCTGCACACTATCGCGGTCGGGGACTATTTCTTCGGAGAAGGTTACCCCATTCACCTCAGCCACTTTATCACTCATGTTTGCAGGTGTAGTTTGTGAACACCTCTGATGAATACGACTTAAGCTTGCGCTAGTGTTACTAGTGTCAACGGCATGCAGGACCCCGGTATATTTGTCAGTACATACATATGCGTTCGTTTTAGTTCAGTTTAAGTCCATCGAATCAAACTCCGAGCAACCCCAATCCGCAGTGTTATTTTAAAACGTGTATCTCGTCGCATGTGTGTACAATCAACACTTACTGAGTATTTAACTATGTTATGTATCTCGCAATCCGGCAATCGGTTCAAGGGCACGGCTTGTGGATTTGATACCAGCTCAGCCCAATGGAACCATCAACAAACACGCAAATATTTAGATGCCTTATCTGATCATCAGTCTTGCATACCCCCGGAATTCCACGACCCAGGGCCCAGGGCCCAGGCTCCTGCCCCTGGGCTGGAGATCTGGACTCCTTTCACCACTGTGAAGCCTGGGACCCTGGAGGAGTCTGGAACTCTCTGGGGGACTGTGGCTGAACTCAAAACGTTAAACGTTAAACCAGTTATTGTAGTTGGATGTGAATTATGTACAGTATGTACATATAAATATGCAATCGGTTTGCGTTCAGCAAATCGTCTGAAGTATAAACGCTAAACAGTTGAAACCCCGAAAGACAACAACCCCGTTTACGTTAAACGTTTATTTTTGAGACGTTACCTAACCCTGGCGTTGAAGTCTGTGGTTCTGCAGATCGATTGGAACCCTAAAACCCTGAACCCTCATACTTCTGCTGGATGTCAGACTCTCGGGGTCCGAGAAGCGCGGAACGGATTCACAAAGCGAAGGTAAATAGACCAATATATATATTTTTATACTTATAACTATATATTAGCGCATGCTTGCACAAGGGAATATTGGAGGCTACTGTCCATTGACCTACTAGGCTTCGACAATACTCACTTGAACGTTAAAAGACATCTCGACTTCTAATATACATTACTTCGTTGCGATTCGGACGCAGAATCTAGGCTCCCTTTAAATACACACACCATATCCAACTAGCTTTTAAGAATTTTTTTAGTGTACGTATATTCTACCAGAAGTTAATACTTACTTTTGAAAGAGCCCGAATAGCAAATTAAAGGAGGGAAAAGGGATTTATTCTCGGACACAATGCTCTATCTTCATGCGTTGCGAAAGGCATCGCTGAAGGTGTGTTACTTCACAATTGACGAACGTATTACCATGACATAGTACTAGTCACTCTGCACATGCACATATATATATATATATATGTATATATATATATATATATATATATGTGTGTGTGTGTGTGTGTGTGTGTGTGCATGTATGAGTGTGTCCGTGTGTCTGTGTGTACATGTATGAGTGTGTCCGTGTGTCTGTGTGTACATG